AAGAATGTTAGTGGGAAATAGGGCTTGTGCTTTGTTTTATTTGTTTGTTTGACTGCTTCCTGCTGGTTAGGGTCGTCGGGTTCCTTGGGGCAAGTCCAATCTTCATAATCAGGATATCTCTAACTCCTCATCCAACTGCAACAGCAGCAGCCAGGAGCAGCAGAGGGAAAGAAGTAGCAGCCTTCTTCCTTGGAGGGTGCCCAGTCCCCCTCGCCCCTGAGCTCTGGTATTTCCACCCTCTCAGAGTCCCTAAACTATCCACAACTGGCAAAGGTCATGCCCCTCTCAGAGGCAGCAGGAGACAAATAGTTTGCTGCTGTGGACAATCTGAAACAGCCCCCATATCCCATACTTGGGATTAAAACGAAAACATGTTTATATTGAGAGACCAAAGAATTAAAAACTAGGTTTTGGGGGGACCGAGCTAGAAAGTTTAAAACACCTCAGGCTAGTTGACCTTGCTGCTTCTAGGCTGATCCAGCCAGCTGCGGGGAAGAGCTGGCCTTGATGCTCATGAGAGGTACTCTTGCCAGGACACCGGCCTGGATGGCCTTGCTCCTAGTGATAACCACCTCTTCTCCCCCAGCAGCAGTCCATCAGTGCAGTACAGGACTGAAGCCCAAGGCCAGCCGATTCCCCTCACCCTCCTGGCACTTTCCCATAGCAAACACTTTAGGAAGTGTAGCCTCCCCCTTTCCTGTATTAACCAATAGAAGCCTGCCAGGCTAGAATTCCCTGCTTTGGGCATGCTGGGAGGGACCGGGACCCATAACTCACCCACAATCCAGAGCTCGGGCTTTCAGCTGGATACTAAAGCCTTGGTGTCTGTGAGAGTCCAGCTTGAGCTGCAATAGACTCGATTCCCTGGTGGTCTTTTGGGTCTTCTGTACTCCAGAACTCGGAGGTCCTTGTCCTGTAGCCTCTAGCTGTCTGAGACTAAGGTGAATGCTAAGCTTCAGTGCTGCTGTCTTCTCCACATGGCTGCTGAGTTCCTGCCGAGGTGACTGGCAAACACCTGTGTGTCAGGTACTGGGGAGTCTGGAGGGGGCTCACAAGTTCAGTGCGACGGTCTTCTCACCCTGCTAGCCCAATTCACTTTCAACCGTCTCTTATTTTCACTCAGTGTAATCTTTTCTTCTTCTCTCTAGCCCTGCTCTCTTCGTTCCTGCACCAACTGTTCTCTTTGGCCCTGGTCTTCTGTCTCCTGGACCCTACCTCTACCTACTCCCCAATCCTGCTCCTCTCAGCTCTCAGCCTCCACTGATTTTTTTTATATATTCTCCTGTTCTCAGAAGTCCAAGAGACAACTGACATTGAAGGGCATAGAGTCCTTTAAAGGGCCAGGCACTCAAAATAACTCATACTACATTTCTCCCCTGATTTGTTTTAGCTAATAATTATGCAGTTTTGAA